ACCATGGCTTCCATGACCTTGGTCATAACAGCATGTACGCCTGAAGATGAGGTCTTTACAATCGTGGTTTCTCACCCTCATCGACCCACTAACGGATCCTCCCCACACTCTTTTAAGAGTTACTCCCTGTTACATTCACCCCGTACCCCTGTTTCTTTTTCTCAACCCAAAGGGCTCACACTGGTGATGTTCCCTGTTTTCCTTTGCTGCCACCAGTGGATTTTGTTATCCACACTGTAAAGGACTTTAGTCTGACACTGGCTGCCAACAACAGAACTGGTTTATTAAAGGGTATTAGGCTAATTAGGGTAATTCAGGATCACAGATGTTCTTTATTCATTTCATAGAATCAAAATCATTGAAATATCATATATTCTGCCACACATTCAATCACCTCCTGTTTTACTTGTTTACTTTAACCAGCTTATCTTTATTAGTTACAGTTCTCACTCTTTCTCTGACTATCTCTCTCTCTGCAAACCTCTCTCCTTCTCACTCCTTCTCCCTCTCTAATTGACTTAACTGACTCTCTGCCTCTGCCCCTCCTGTCCTCTCATAGGCTTATGCATATGAGCTTCAGCTATGAGTGACAGGCGTGACGTGGGGCATCTGTCACATTCCCAAACTCGCCTCCCAACTCCAATGGTGGCACTTCATCCCAAACTTCTCAATGGGACGTCCTTTCCAACAACCATGTCTTCAAATACAGGTCGCAACTGATGCCAGCCTTACCGGCTGGGGAACACATTGCAGCTCTCTCAAAATCCATGCCAATTGGTTCCACAGAGAACGTTCCCTCCACATAAACGAGTTGGAACTATTGGTGGTGATAAAGGCATGCAAGGCATTCAGGAACATCCTAGCTGGCAAGGTAGTCCAGATTGCCACTGACAATACTACAACCATGTACTACATTCTCAAACAGGGTGGCACCCACTCCCCAAGCCTTCTCTATTTGGCAGTTGACCTATGGGTATGGTGCCTCTCTCACCACATATGCCTTAAAGCTTTGCACATTGCAGGCCATGACAGCGATCTAGCAGACTCTCAGTTGCACAAACTCACAACCCCACAAGTGGGAGTTAGATCAAACAATTTTTCTCTGGCTGTGCAAAAAATGGGGCAAACCCGACTCTGGACATTTTTGTCTCCTGCAACAATCCAAAATGCAAACACTATTGCTCCTGTGCTGGGATTGGCAAACACTCCGAGGAGACGCATTCATTGGCCACTGGCCCAAGACCCTCACATACCTTTTCCCACCATTTCCACTCCTCCACAGAGTAATTGTCCGGATACAGCAGGACAAACCCAACACCATGCTCATCACCCCTTGGTGGCTGAGACAGCCTTGGTTCCCAGTCCTACACAACCTGTCCTCGAACTTGTATCACCTCCTCCATCTGCCACACCTCCTCATGCAGAACAGCTCCCAGATTCTTCATCCAGACTTACCTGCTCTGCACCTGGCAGCGTGGAGGATTCTCCCTCCTTGATGGATGTCCTCTGTCAAGCATAGAAGTCCTCAACCAGAAAAGTCTACCTTTATAAATGGAAAAAACAATTCAATCCTTTACTACGGCCACTTCCCTACCTGCTGTCAACCCATCTCTCTCCACGGTCCTCCGATTTTTGCAACATCTTAAATCTACTGGCCTTTCTGTCTCTTCTCTTAGAGTCTATCTGTCAGCAATCATTTCTTACCAACCACCAACCTCTCCAGAGGTTCGGTTTTTCAGACATCCCATGCTAAAGCGCTTTCTCAAAGGATTATCACATGCCTACCCAGATGTTCATCTGCCTTCTCCCCAATGGTCCTTGACCCTTGTACTGTGACAGCTGACTAGACCTCCCTTTGAACTGTTAGTCTCAATTGATCTTCACCTACTTACCTTCAAGACAGTCTTTCTTGTTGCAGTCACTTCAGCTCTCCGAGCAAGTCATCTTGCGGCCTTACACCATGATTACATTTATGTACAATTCTATCCTGATAAAGTAAAACTGTTTCTAGACATCTCTTTTTTTCCTAAAGTGGTGTCTCAATTTCCTCTCTCTCAACCATTAGTCCTCCCCTCCTTTTTTCCATCACCATCCACAACCCACGAACGACTCCTTCATACTTTGGACATCAAGAGGGCCCTTTCCTTTTATTTGTCGCGCACACAGCATTTTCAGTGTTCTCTGCACCATTTTGTCAGTCATCAATCTCCTAACAAAGGCCTACAAGTAACTTCTCAAACAATTTCTCGCTGGGTTGTCTCTACTATTCAGCTTGTATACCAGCTTCTCAACAATCAGTCCCTCAAGCTATTCGCCCTCATTCCACCAGGGCATTGGTGACCTTTACAGCATTCCTCCATGGTGTGGTTCTCCCTGACATCTGCGCCTCAGCTACATGGGCACAACCATCTACCTTCGTCCGGCATTATACAGTGGGGTCTTGACTTGAGAACTTAATCCGTATTGGAAGGCGGTTCTCAAGTCAAAAAGTTCGCAAGTCAAATCTGCATTTCCCATAGGAATGCATTGAAAACCATTTGATCCGTATCTGCTCTTTTCCGTCCATAGAAACTAATGGGAAGCTGCTAGTCCGCCTTCGACCACTAGAGGGGGGATATTTTGTTTCTTTTTTTTTTCTTAGGTCAAGAAAGGTTCAGGGAAGGCAGGGAAAATACAGTCCAGGCAGTACCAGGCAATCTGAAGATTGTTTCCCAATTCACTCTCTAAACGCTGGGAGGAGTGAGGAAGCAGACAGGCACCCTTTTC